CAAATAGAGAACACACACAACTTCTCTTATGTTAATATAGAGTTTTAGTTCCAAATTCACAGTGTCTATTAGAGATCCTTAAGTCCGATTAAGTTGAGTTGGTGTTTGAGTGTTGTGAATTCAAATCTAAGCATAAACGAAAATGAGACAATGATTTTGGTCACCCAGAATTCGCTGCTCTACTCTATGGGGATGGATCGAAACCATCAAGCTTGCACTATCGATTTGATACACAAGAAACAGAGAGTTCTTAATATCTCTATAACGAATTACTTTCAACCTGTGTTAACCTTGTAATCCGTTTGTTTCTTGTTGTGCAGCTATTATTAGAACTTTCTCGCTCAAAGGAACCAAGCTCAGTTCGAAGAAGAATCGCCGGAAACAGAAGATAACCACACCGTTTATCACCGGAACTCAAACCAGCAACCAAACCCGAAGAAACGCAAACCAGAGACCTCGACTCAGCAAACCGAGAAGAAACCTTGAAGCATCGATACACCGGAACTCCGATTCGATCTCTCTCTCAAGCTTTGTCACTCTAGCTTTGTTTTCTCTCTCTGTGTTTTTCTGTTACGATCTCTGTTCTCTCTCCTTTTTTTTTGTTGAAGATGATGTTGACTTCTTTTAAGCTTGTTTGACTAAACCCATTTGGGCCTTGGGCCAAACCAAGTTAATGACGAGGCCCATCTTTAACCAGCCCATACCAATGTTTAGACAAAACAACAACGCTTCACAATTAAACCCTGATTTTTTTTTTTTAATTGAAAATTTGGTTTATTCCGGTTTAAACGGTTTGGTTTGGTATGGTTTAGCCAAATCGGTATAGTTAGGTTAATCTATATAAGTTAGTCTATGGTTAAAAGAAAATAGGTTGTGATCAAAAGAATACAAATCTATCATATAAATTTGTGGCAAAAAGAAATAAATCCATCAAATACTAATAAATATGTAAAAATACGATAAATTTGTTGCCAAAGGAAAATATATTTTTGACAAGTTTATTGAGTTTGTCAAATTTAGAAAATTTATCTCTAAATATAAAAAAATCTTGTGATGGAAATAATTAAGTCTTTCAAAATTAAGTAAATATGTGTTTAAAATGGAAAATATCTATCGAATACTAATAAATCTGTCAAAAAAAATAAATTTGTGGCCAAATGAAAATAAATTTGTGACAAACTAATTAAATCTATCAAATTTTTAAAAAAATTGTGGTCAAAGAAAAATAAATCTATTGAAAGCTAACTAAATCTGTCAATGTTAAGTAAGTCTATGGCAAAAAAAAAAATCTGTTAAGTAAATCTCAAATCCAATTAATAAAGGGTCGGATTCAACCGGATCTTCCATTAAAACCGCGTCGAAATTCCTTCGAGAATCACCAACACCAAGGAAGCTTCATCACTGCTACACCCATTCAATTGATGTAGACTTCAACCCAACTTTGCTCTTGCGACATGAGCAAAAGGAAAGTAATGAAGATATTACTCTTGGAGAGCATGGAGAGATCGGAGAACATTTAGAGGATTAAATGGAAAATTCGACGAGGAAACAAGGATCGGACATAGATCTTATCCCGACTAAACAAAAGAGAAAACACACCAGTCAAGCCGGAAAACCGCATCCGAGCTTAGTCGGAACCGGACTCAGCCGGATATAGAACCGGATCTAGCCGGAAAATCCAACTCGATTGAGATCGGAAGAAACTGCATATATTACAACCAAAACCAAAGAGAAAGAGAAGAAAACTATATACAAAGAAAACACGATGCCGGCTATCGTCGGACGTCGGAAAACGTTACTTCAAGCGGTTTCTACAAGTTTCTAGCGAATTGGAGAGAGAAAATTAGAGAAAGAGAGATACGAGGGTAAAATTTATTTGACGTATGTGTTAACAGTTGAAGAAAAACGTGTGTGACTGATTTGTTAATAATTTGTTAAAGGTTATTAAATTTGCTATGATTTTTTTTTTTTTTTAAACAAGATGAATTTTCACAATGGTTTTCCTTTCCTCTAAAAAAAAAATGATTTCCTTTTTGATTATAGCAACTAGATTTCCTTTTCCTTTTTTTATAACAAAAAGGTTTTAAAAAATAAATAAATAGGTTTAGTGAGTTTCTTTACCCAAAATCAGTGTCCATAATATCTGATTAATTACGGCAAATTAAAATTAAAATTAAAATAAAAAGAGATTACACATATTCAAATCTGAGAGCCCCTAGTATAAATACACTCGTCAACTAACAAAAAAAACATTGTCACTTAGGTTTTCTTCTTGTTACTCTGCGAGAGAGAGGCGAAACTTGTTGTGTCATCATCGTCGCTTTCTTCTGTTGAATTCGGTAAATATTCTTCTCTTCTTCCTCCGTTTTATCCTTTTTCGTTCGATTAGGTTACGTCACAATCGCTTTTTTTCTGGTTCCTTGATTTCAATTTCTCCTTGGATTCTTTTTTCTTGAACACCTTCGATTTCTAGGGTTCTAATCGACAATTTGGTCAAGTGTTCGCTTGATTTTGAGTTGTTATAATCATATGAACTGATTCTTCAATCGTCGAGAGTGAAATTGAGGCCTAGAATGTTGGATTTGATTTGGTATCACAAAAAAGTTGCAACTTTTTGTCAATTAAAGTCATTGAGGAATGAGATTTAATATTTCTGCACTATGTTCTGTTTCTTCAAGGGTTCTTTAAAGTGTTTAGTTTTGAAGAAAAAGTGGTAATAGATTTGAGATAGTAGAGGGATTCAATGATTGATATCTGTTCTGTTTTTCAATGAACAGATAACAGAGGATTAGGCCAATTTCACACAATGGTTGGAAGAAGTGAATCACCGGAACCAAGTTTTGAGTATTCGTGTTCATACATCGATGCTGTGAAGGAAGCATTTCAAGATGAACCTGCAAAATACGACCTGTTTAAAAAGCTCTTGAATGATTACATAGCTAAGAGGTATGAATTGTTTTTGTCCCTCTTATATATTTTTGTTTTGGGCTTGCTCTTAATTTCAAATCCAATCTCATGTTACTTAATCGTGTCTTTGTAGAGTTGATAGAGCTAGTCTCATTACAAGGGTCGAGGAACTCATGAGAGACCACCGGAAGCTGCTTCCTGGTTTCAGTGTCTTCCATTCAAAGGCTAATAATACAACCATCCCTCCCGAGGCTAAGAGAGTTATCCCTCCTGAGCCTAAGACAGCCATCCCTCTCGAGCCTAAGACAACGATCTCTGTTGATGTTAACACAACCATCCTTCCTGAGCCTAAGATAACCATCCCTCCCGAACCTAACGGGACCACCCTTAATGATGCTAACAAAGGGTTAGGCCAGTTACTTGGAAGAAGAGTATCATCGGAGCTGACTATAGAGGATTCGCTTGCATACATTGCTGCTGTGAAGGAAGCATTTAAGGATGAACCTGAAAAGTATGAGGAGTTTCTCAAGATATTGAAGTATCTTGATACTCATAGGTATGGATTATTTTCTCCTTGTTGTTATCTTTGGTTTACTTCTTAATTTCAATCTACAAAACAAAAACGCATTGTGAATTGTTTTCTCTTGTCATTATTCTCTTTGTAGAGAGAATAAAGGTACTTGCCATGCAGGGGTGAAGGAACTCATGAAAGATCACCCGAATCTGTTTCTCGGTTTCAATGCCTTCCTTCCAGCTGAGTCTAAGATAACCATCCCTCCCGGGGCTTACAGAGCCATCCCTCTTACGCCTATCAGAGCCATCCCTCTTCAGGCTATCAGAGCCATCCCTCTCGAGGCTAAGACAACCGCCCCTCCCGAGGCCAAGGCAACCGCCCCTCCCAAGGCTAAGATAACCATCGTTTTCAAGCCTAAGAGAACCATACCTCGAGAGACGAACAGAACTATCCCTCTTGAGGCTGAGAGAACTATCCCTACCGAGGCTGAGAGAACAATGGCTCCCGAGGCTAATGCAACCAGCCCTCCTGAGTATAGGATAACCATCATTCCCAAGGCTAAGAGAACCATCCCTCCCGAGCCTGAGCATCATGGCGCTGAGTCTAATTGTACCAAAGTTGAGGCTGATTCGTTGGATTTTATTAATAAACTGAAGGTATATAGAAAGCTAACTAATCCTAAAGAAATACCATTTTGATATCTCCTCTTTTTTGCTAACTTGTGATTTATATAACAAATTCTTTGATGTGCAGACTAGGTTTCGGACCCTTGATACTCATGTAGTTGAGTCATTTTTCAAGATAATGAGAAAGTTTCGAGAGGGAAAGAAGTCGAAAAAGGAAGTGCACCGGGAGGTAAGTTCTTGGTACTCAATGTTGTGTTGCACTTGTGCTTCTGTGATTTTTCTTGGTTTGATTTGGTTAATATATAAATCTTGCAGGTGGTTGATCTTCTCTATTACCATGAAGATTTGATCGAGGACTTTTCCAGATTTCTAACAAAAAAACACTATATCCACACTAGATAGTTTAAATTTGTCGCTTGGAGGATTTGTGAAACAGAGGGTAGATATATAAAAGTGTACTTAAAACATCATTCTCAGAAGAAAATGTTTAGAGCTTCTAACGAGAAGAGGGTGTATATTTTATTTTGTAGAGGTTTGAGTTTTAATTCGATTCTTCTGACATGCACATAATTTTTCATAAAATTTGGAGTCTCGGATATGAATTTGATTATGACACTGAAGTGTTGAATCCAGTGTTTGATTTTATTTGAGAAAAAAATGTTCTCGTTCAATGCATGACCTAACTGATATGTAACTTAGGAAGCACGGAAACACCTTAGCCGTTTTACGAGACGAAAAGATGAGCTTCTAACGAGAAGAGTGTATAGCTACTTTGTAGACATTCATGTTTAGCTGGATTCTTGCTCAACAAAAACAGAATATCATGACAATATAACATGCACATGTGCTTCTATATCAGATATTTCCTTGTTACCAAGATGACATGAGAGTTTTGGTTGTCATTTCTGTTGGAAGAAACAGAGTTCAATAGATAAACAAAAACAGAGAGGAACAGAGCCCAAAACTCAAACCAAACAAACAAACATTAAGACTAAGTTGTGGATGGGAAGTGCACTTCACCAGATAAGATGGTTGATACAATGATACTTACGTAACAAATAAGCTATAAACGAGAAAGATAAGTAGGTGAGTCTACAACATCAAACACTCTATCATATAAGTAACGGAATCTCGTTACTCCTTCGTTGTAGTTTTAGACAGTAATATGGCACTGATGTGAACCTAGACTCAAGAAATCGCTGTTAAGAAGCATTCCAAACCTTCATTACACCAACAAAGGGGGAATTGTTACTCTTATTCCGTTATCACGACAAGAAGTTTACCAAGTTCAGTTACTCTTGAAACAAAGGGATAAACAACAAGTGATGAGTGACACAAATGCTTACCACCAAAAAGAGAATGTGAGTTTGAGAAAGACTCAGATTAAGAACTGTGAGGATAAAATTATTTGTGAGATCAAGAGAGCAAAGTTTTCAAGAAAACCAATGTTTATTTTGTGCAAGGATGCTATTTTGAACTCTAATAATCTTGATATTGTTTTGCCTAATTGTGTTATTCTTTGTTGCATGATTTTGATGGTGTATGTTCCCGAAAATACACCTCATCAGGATTCAGGAGCACTAAAGATGCATTGCAAATACCTTTTTTACTAGTGGCAAGAACTCGTGCCAAGAAAATTTACGGGCTTATTTAAGAGAATATGAACACTGAGAAATTAAAAGTCCATTGGAAATAATATATACCAAGTCCAGCCCATTTTGAACCTAATATCAAACCTTAAAAACCCAGAAATATCCTTTATTTGAGAGATATATCACTCACTTTTAAGTCAAAAAGAACATCAAGAGTTGAATACATATATGTTATTTGGAATATTTTTTTCAAAACATTTATTATTCGACTTTTTTTTTCAAATTTCCTTTCTTTTTAAATAGAAAGTGCTATATTGGCCAATTCTCTCTAGATTTTATCTCTATTAGAGAGAAAGATGGAAGGTTAAAACGTAGTCAACAAGACCAGATGTTACAGGAAAAATAGTTTTTGGAAAGTTTTTGGTTACATACCTAACTTGCATTCTTTACTTGATTTTGTGGCTCGTTATCTCTTATTTTTTTCCCAATAAGATTTTTTTTACTTTATTTTTTGACTCACATAAAAATATCAATTTCGTTGACCAAAGAGAAAGAAAGAGTTCCTGTTGTTTGAGAACAAAAGAAAAAAAAAAGGTTCTCTCGTGACC